TCACTTCTACTGGTGTACAATGGAAACTATCAGCTTGAAAACCTTTAAATGTGTATATACTTAATATTTATATTCCACAAATACTTCACTTGCCTATTTGCTTACAAGTCTGGTCTTTGGGGGTGTTTCCAACTCCTTGGAATCCTGGGCTTAGACTTCTTGCCTGCAATCTTGTATTGTTTCCTTAATTTTCTGACTCGCTGGCCTATGGATACCTCCGTCTGCCACTCATCTTTGGAGTGAGGAATGTGATCATGCATTCTGATCCCTGGAGCTTACTTTAGTGGATGCTTTAGCACTGGCCTATCTCTATCAAAAAAGTACATTTTATTTTTTAACATATAGTATGGAGAAAGCAGCAAAAAAAGCGTTATAAGAAGAACGTAGAGACTAGTGAACCACAATACAAAATAAGGAAGATACAGGCTTGAAGTCCATTGCAGGAGTTAGCCTGGGACATTCCAGACGTGACCTCAGAGGTGAAAGAATTCACAGCTACCAATTATCGCGCCAGACAGATGTGTTATATTGAGAAAACCCTAACAGCTTGATAAAACACATGACGAAATGAACCAATGTCACAGAAATTAGCAGTTAATGGGATGATGGTGAAAGACAAGGTTGAAATACCCTTAGTGAAAAGACTGAAGTTACATAGTTTGTCTCTATACATCCTAAATCAATTGTCTTGGATGATTTCGCCAAATATATTAGATAAGGGACAGAAATAAGTTTGTAAGGATCAATAACAAAGTGGATTTTGCTTACAACCTGATGGAATAGTCCACTTGTTGCTGGGGGATCCCACTTGTGCAAACCAAGTTAAAGAAACTGCCTTTGAGGGTGGATCTGCTGGACTTTTTGAGTAGTCAGAAAAACACTAGAAATTGTGTATAATTCCGTGTTACTGAATCCAAACTCCGACTTCTCCACACTTATCAAGTTGCTCCAAGGACCTGAACTGACTCCAGAAGAAGATGGCAGTAATCCAAAATCTACAAGAAGTTCACTGCACAAACTCCTTGTAAGTATGCTATTTCAGATTCTGTCTGACAGTGTTTCACTCCAAACTTCAATAATGTATAAAAAGACAAAAGTGAAGAATACTAACTGTACTAAAGAAATAGAAGATTTGATAACACTTATAGTGAAACTACTGAAAGATATCTTAGAAGAATTGTTAATGTGGTTATAGAGATCATGACCTAGAGAATGTCTAGTGTTAACTAATGATGTGTCTATGTTATGGAACATAATAGAAGGTCTTATTAATGAATATCTAGATTTTGAAAGTGAATAATTCAATGATTTAGTTAGTGTTGTTTCATGATAACCTTGAGTTTCGATATAAATGAACTGTTCAACAGTATATAAATAAAAAATGTATTTGATTTGTATTCAGTTGTCTCTTTGTGAGTTCTTTATTTCATATGTAAACTTCCTCGAGTTGGTAGCTTGTGTGTTCTGCTCGTGACAGCACTACCCGAAATCCAAATAAATTCTTTGTAATGAGTCGAACCCAACAACTAAGCCCACGCGCCCGTTACACAAGATGAAGGTCCTAGATATAAGAGGGGTGTGGATGCCTGATTAAGGAGATCCTAAAAACCAAGAAACTAGGTTAAAATAGTGATAGTAGAGGAAGAAATGGAAATCTAAGTTGCAAACAAAGAAGAATAGGTGTTCCCACTAAAGCTATTGGGATAATAAAGAAGAGCCTTGGTGAGGAAGGGAAGGGCAAAGATAAAAAGAGTAGGGTAAAGACAGACAAAAACGAACAGATAGCTGGAAAGAAAGAGAAAGGAGGGGAAAGAGGAACACCAAAACAGAAATAAAGGATACAAGAGATTGGCGATCAAGAAAGACAAAAGGGCCATAGTCTGAAGCCACAGCAAAGGAGTCACAAAGACAAGTACAATAAGGAAGATGTAGGACAACATGAAGTTGGAACATGAGGTAAAACAACAAAAAATACACCATATGCATATAAAAATAATAGAATATCATGTACCTGCTTCATGAGTGTAGTACACAGAAAAGGAAGAAGTACTCATTCCTCATCAGGGATAGAAGAACCAGACACAAAGGTCAGAGACGGAAGAGCCAGCCAAAATCGTCCACAGACAAGACAAGCTCCACGGAAAATAAAGAAACAAAACGACTATTAACCTGAACTGGAGAAGAAATGGGCAGAATGGAACCAACCACTTGATACATGAAAGCAGGAACATCATCAGTTATACACGACATCGAAAGTACCTCATCACAGAGTGAAAGCCAAGACATGTCACAAAAAAAGTAAGCTAAATGTATAACAATTGAATGTCAGGTCCAATAACAGATAAAGTGTTTCCAGTCATTCTTGAGTCAGTTGGAGAAAATGTATGAAAAGGAATGTCTGGTGTGACGGACTTGTTATTATATATCTATTTTAATATCGATATTTGTTTAAATAAATTTATATTTAAAAACGTACATAACTTATACTGTTACATCAGTATTACGAAATTCCTGCCTATTCTCTAAAGTTGTATAAGATTCTTGAGTGTAAGAACCAACAACATATGTGTGTACGTAAACGCTATTGTGGCTTTGTATTGTTACGTAAACTGCAGTTTCGAGAAACTCTCCACACGCCTATAAATATAACCAACGCGCCGCGCCTAAAAACAGTATCTATTCTTGGTTTGCTATAAACCTTGGAAGGTATAACTGTGATTGTTATAACGCTTATTAATCGGGAAACTTAAGATATTTGACCAGGAACATTTACAAATTTCGAACATTACAAACCATTTAACTTCAGTGAATTCACATGGGACATTAGTTTGTTTGTTATGA